GGCCTATGTTTTTAGTGATATATTTTTTAAAATCACCTTAAAAAAGATATATGGTTTTGGGCGAATATTTCTCTAATATTGATTAGAATCTTCAGTTATTGCTCTATAAGATTGGCTATTATATCACACTCTGTAATCATGTCTTAGTGGTAAAAATGTCAAAGTAAAAGTAGTGGTCAAAATATACCTCACTTACTTCTTTGACTCTCAGGGCAGCCATTTTTATTTGGAAGATATTGAATCTCTCCTCAAATGAAGGTCAATAGTTGACAAAAATGATGGCCGATATAAATACTGAATTACTATTTTGGTTATTCATAAAAATTAATTTTCATTTTACTCTGAGATTTTCGCATTAAATAAACTCATACCCAATACATTTTAATTATAATATATTTATCATATTTAATTAACTCTTCATTAATTTGTAAGAATCGGCGAATTTATGTGTGAATAGAAAGAATCGGATGAATAGAATAAACATCTGTTGTATTTTAAAAAAATCATAAAAATTAGTACATATTTAACGACTAAATAAATAACAAGTGAATACTTACATTAAAAGCAATACGTTTAGTCATTACAAACTGATTGCCACAACTGAAGCCTATTTTAATATTATTACTGCCCACACGAGACATACTATTCAATAACTATTTAATTATGTAATTAGTAACTTATATTAAAATGTATACAATATTTTAAAAGTCACATTAACATACCTTAAGTTTAGTCCTTAAAGTGAGACAATAATTATAATTTATATAAAATTTATGATAAATTTTATATGTTTTCGATGAGTCGCTATTAATTGAAGCGATAATTAAATTAAGACCAAAAAGTGATATCAAAAACATAATGTTTGGAAAGATAATTATCATTAGAGCTGAGGCACTAAGTGTCTGAAATAATGCCAAATGTGTTAATATTAAACACAACGGTATCACTGAATAACAAACAATAAGGTAATAATATTTCCAAAACATGTTATGTGTAGACAAATCACTGCAAACTCTATTGTGTTCAACGAGTAATTCATTGACGTATTCGTTGAATACAATTAAATCTTCTCCTAATGTAGACATTAATTTTGCATTAAATTGTTTGATAAGTAGTCGACAATAATTACAAATTGTATAATAGTATAGAAAACAATAGCAAATTGTTGGAAACAATGAATAAATAAATAGTAAGTAAATAAATACAGTTATTAAACCATACTTGAGAATTTGCCCTAAACTCATCGAGATCATTACAGAGATAGTAGAAAACACAAACGCAAAAATATTGAATACAATTATTAATTTCTCGATTACTTTTTTAATGCATTCAATTCTGTGAACAAATTTATTAATTATCAACTGATCAGTCAATCCAATCCGAGGCCACAATCCCTGACCACTCAATACAAGTATAATGTAAAACCAGTGGTAATTGTGTCCGGTGTTCATCGCGTATATTAAACCAATGCATAGCATTGTAATACATATACCGGACAAATAAATCATCTCGGTCATACCACCCGCGTATTGTAATACATCAAAGTAATATAGGGGTAGTTTACCATCAGTGAATCTTATTAAATATATTACTAACCTTATTATACAACTTATTAAACTTGCTGTTAACACAAATGTTTTAGTTTTTTGAGTAAAACATTGTTCTTGTGTCACATTTTCTATTTTACAAACATCATACCTGTATAAAATCCAGTTTTTAAATAGTACTAGATGCAAGTTCTTAATAATCATTGTGGTTTTTTTTTGTAAAGATTTTAATTTTATAGATTACTTTATATGTTTTATTGTATTAATTGATTAAACTTAACGTTGCATTATATAAACTTAATGTCACACATTATAATATTAACATTTTTGTAAATATATTAATATACTTTAGCATTTAATTGTCTGTAATATTAATAAAACTATTGCCAATTTATACTGCAACATTAAAATACTGCAACATTAAATAAATAAAAATGTTACTATGTATTAATTACTGTTGATAATTTTACATTAAATAATTTTTATACAAATAACAAACTTAATTATGCTGGTTATTAATTATTCTTAATTCAATAACAAAAATATTTTTATTGCATAAAACATTTTATAAACATTAATGGTTTATCAATAGTGATATTAAATATATTTTGTTGAATTGTAAGAATTTGCAAATTTATGTATAATTATAAAAAATTTAATAAATATAATAAACATCTGTTAATATATAAGAAAAATATTTAGTAAATGAGTATACATTTAATACTAGAATATTCTGTATATAAATAATAATGAATACTTACCTCAATTGCAATGCGTTTAGTCATAACAAATTGATTGTCACACATTATCATATGATTATTACCCACACGAAACATACTGTTTAATAACTAATATAATACACCAAATAATTATTGCACATTTATAACAGTTATATAAAGAATAGTATAATTTTATACAACAATTACCTTTAAATTTATATTTAAATTTAAACACAATTTATATTTACAATAAAACTTGTGATAAATTTTGTACGTTTTTGAGTACTCGCTATGGATTGAAGTTGTAATCAAATTAAAACCCAAAAGTGATGCAAAAAATGATACGTTTAACAAAATAATAATCATCATTACAAACAAATTAAATGTTTGATAAAACAAAATGTGTGTTAGTATTAAACATATTATAATCATTGCATAACAAACACAAACGTAATAATTTTGCCAAAACTTGTTATGTTTGATCAAAACATTGCAAATATGATTATGTCTGGCGAGTAAATGACCAACATTTTTATTATACACATGTTCATAGAGTTTCAAAACAGATAATAGGTTCATGTTAAATTGTTTAATAATAAACCGGCAATAATAGCATATTATGTAGTAATATAAAAAGCAACTTAATAATATTTCCATTATTATTACGGCATAAATTATATATAAAATACGGGTAAAAATACCATAAATTATTGTACATGTAAGTTTTGAATTCATTGAAAACAATATTGAAATAATTGTGAACAAAAACACACCTGGATAAATGCACAGTCTACTATAAATAATCATGTATTTTGCAATATATATCCTATTAAGAAATGTCTTATTGTTGTTTTCCAAACCTATTTCGGGCCACAATTGACGGCCACTTAACGCTAATATAACATCAAACCACTGATGATTGCCATCACTATTCATAATATATATGAGACAAATGGCAAGTATAGTCAGAATAACGGCCACAATATATACTACATATTGCAAAATATTAAAATTGTATATCTGGAGTATGTCATCAATCAACATCCAAATGCATACTAAACATCTTATTATGCATATTAACAAATAAATTATCAAACACCATGTTTTTATTTGTTGAACACTTTGCTGGTGTTTCCACATGTGTTCAATGTTGTAGAGGTCGTATCGATAGACAATCCATCGATTAAATAGTAATAGATGTAAGTTTTTAAAAATCATGTTTGTTTTTCCATCTAATTTTGTGATCACTTTCTGTATAAAGTACTTTAATATAAGTATTTATAATAAATTGTTAACGCAATGTCAAATGACGTTATTACACAATATTACAATATGTCAAAATTGCATTTACCATTTTATTTTTGCTATTTATTTTCTCCAAACATTACTTCCAACTGCATATATAATACATTCGTCGAGTAATTTATAATCATCAGTAATTTACTTATAAATACACACTTATATGAAAACGCGGTTAGAAATTACTGATAGCTATAAATTGTTTGCCTTATTTGCTCTATTTTTTATAAACGTATTTAATAACACAGTAATAACTATACTGTACTTGTATTGTACAGTATATTGTAAATTACATATATTGAAGGTCAAACTTAACAGGAATTTTTTAATTAAATACAATTAAATAATATTACAATTAAGTAAATTACAATCATTTATATTTTGTAGTTTTAATATTTAGGACCAGAATATTCTGTGTATAAAATAGTAAATACTGACTGTAAAGGCGATCCGTTTAATCATTACAATTGCGGCACAACTTAGCCATATTTGATGTCCACTTTTTCCCACTCTATGCATAATATTTAATAGCTTTAACTTAAAAAATTAATTAAATTATAATTATGTTTATAATTATTTTGTACCTTAATCTTATACTTGAATGATAAACTTTTATTGAATTTAAACATAATCTTAATTAACAATTTATAAGATTTAATGCATTCAGTATTGATTGAAGCGATAAATACATTTTGTAATAATACCATATTTATGGCCAATAATGAAAGTGTTATAAATGATAAACAAAATTATTATATAGTACTTTTTCCAACATTTATCATATTTTACTAAATTGTCGTCTGTCAAATTAAAATTTCAAATTAACATAACTATGTTAAATTGTCCTAAAATTTTTATTGATAAAATAATCAGATAATATAACATTTTCATATAAATTAGTGCATTTTAACTTATATCAGTTTGTGGTTTAAAAAACATTGAAAACAAATTTTATACAATGAGTTAACTGTATTATAAAATTTTAAGTACAAAACCTTATAAATATATAACATCATGATTAATTTAAAATTCATTGGCATAATAATAAGCAAAATAATAAAAGTTTTAAAAGTTATATTTTTGTTATTATAATCTGAGAGAATATAGCATTTTGATGTTATACATATAATTGTTGCTATTATATTTTATTTGCCAAGTTAACAATTATGCAATACAATGTCACAGTGATTTTAATCATGTTTTGCCTTCATGATAAATAATATGTGATAAATACAGTATATAACTATGCACTGAATGTGATGAATGTAAATTTACTGATAGTACTGAATGCACTGTAGTGTAAATAAATGAATTTAAACTACAGTATACTGTATAATTAGTACATAAGTTATAATTATATAGAAATCTGTATAAAAACATGTTGATATTTAATTTCATTTTCAACCAACTGGTATTTTTAAAACATCAAAATTACAAAATATTTTACAATGTTTTCTTTAATATTGTCATTATTTGATACAATTTGTACGACATCTGTCAAATTAATATATTTATCATGTATTATATTAATTACAATTAATCTATTAAGAAGATTCCGAAAGAAAATCCTGATTAGCAGCCATGGAAAAGCGGTACTCATAACAGGTATTCAACTATTAATTAAAATTTTGTTTACATAGATAATTTTAATAAACAAAAACACATTTTTACACCATGTTTAACAACATGATTAAATACGTGTATATAAAACACATATAGGTTGTGACACCGGGTTTGGGCACCTGTTGGCGCTGAGCCTAAACGAGCGGGGATTCCGTATATTCGCCACTGTTTACGACCCAAACAGCGATGGCGCCAAAAAACTGGCCACCAGTTGTCGATTCCCGGACCAAATGGTTGTCATTAAAATGGATGTCACCGATGATAACGACGTGAGACAGGCCTACAGCGCCGTATCGAGCGATCTCCAGGAGCACAAGTGCTCGCTGTGGGCAGTGGTCAACAACGCCGGCTATATGTTGTCCAGTCTTGTAGAGTGGGGACAATTGCAAACCTATGAACGCATATTTCAGGTCAACGTGTTTGGTGTGGTTCGGGTCACCCGTATATTCTTGCCTCTAATTAAACAGTCTAAAGGTATTTGAAATATAATTATTAATTATAAACTCGAGAGAGAGAGAGAGAGAGAGAATACATATTGAATGAATAGTTATTGGCAAATTATGCTCTAGGTCGAGTGGTGAACGTGTCGAGTGTGTTGGGCCTATTCGTGATGTCAAACCTATCCGCCTATTGTATGACCAAAGCCTCTGTAATACGCTTTTCGGACACATTGCGCAAAGAGATGGCCCGTTTCGGTGTACGGGTGGCCACTATAATGCCGGGCGGTTTCTCGTCCACCGGTTTGTTCGCCGGTATATTATCGCTGGTGGACAAGACGTGGGCCGAGACGGACGACACTGTGAAGAGCAGTTACGGACAGAAATACTTTGACGACTGGAAGAAAGGGATGCAAAAGGGATTGGATTCCGATATAAACGGCAATAACTCTTATATTGTGGTCAACGATATGGTGGACGCCGTGATGGACGTCGAGCCCCGCAATAATTACCAACCCATACAGGGGTATGCGTTCAGATTGATTACATTCATGTCGGTGTATTTGCCCGATTGTGTGATGGATGCTTTTCAACGGGCTAAAAAATTGTAATATATATCGCACATAATTTTTATATTAATTAATACACTTTACCATTAGATAGTTTAAGTTCATATATTTTATATTTTTGTAATATTGTGTATAATTTATCAAATATAAATATTTATCAAAAAAGTATGTATATTATATTTGGTAATTTTACATAAAACTTTAAACTTATATAAAATGCACACAAAAATGTTATACCATTAAAGTCAATGATAATAAGATGTGTTAAGACTGTATTGCATGCGAAACAATGCATTCACACAATCACTTCACGCGAAGAAACAGTAATTCAAAAACCCATAGAAAATGAATGTAAAAAAACGAATGAATTGTACGTTTGAAGCGTTGAATGGATTGACTGATTGAGTAGTGCTTAGCGTTGAGTATAGAAACCAATCGTTGGTCTCATTGTCCACACTTTGCCATCACTTCTTCGGCCACTGCTTTGCGACACAAACTCTTTGTCTGTTTTAATCACTAATTGTTTTGTCAACACTTGAAGCGATCCAACACTTGAGCCATGAATAGAGTGCTCTCTTTGCTCAACAAATCCAGGTCTGTATCGGCGGCTCACAGACAGACACACAGTCTTCTTAAGCCATTGAATCCATGGCACAGACAATACTAAACCCATTACTATTTCATACACTTTTGCAGGACTTCATTGACCGTCCCGTTGGCGCTGATTGGCGGCCACTATTGGCTTCAGACACACCGTCGGCGACAGCGCTCGCCAACCGATGGCCCGGTGTTTGGCTTCAGAAGTGCGGCTCTGTTTGGATACGACGACAAAGACTCGCCGCCGAGGACTGACTCAATACACGACACGTGTAAACAGGCGTTCAGTTCAGTGGTGGGCGTCGAGCCGTTGCCGAAGCCGTCGTCGACGACAGGCAAACAACAGCCGCGCAAACAGAGCGACGAGAAGTGCCGGAGCTCTGGCTTTATAGTGAAAGACGAGTCCATTTTGAACGGCTATGTGATTACGACCGCTCGGGCGACGGCGCAGACTCGCGACGTGAACATCATCTGCACCGACGGCCAGAGACGGACGGGTAAAGTGGTGTATATGGAGGCGCACCTGGACTTAGCGCTCATCGAAGTGACCGCAACGGGTTCGCCGCTCAGTTCAGCCACCGATGACGCGGCGATGGCGGCGCCCAATGGCATAGAACTGGTGGACTCGGATGAGCTGAAGAACGGCCAACAGGTGGTGGCGGTGAGCAGCGAGTCCGGCCATCACACCATCAGCGCCGGTGTGATCAACACAACCAAACGGTTGGGCAAAGATATACCCCGACTGCGGGAACCGTTGGACCCGAACACGCATTACATCCAACACACGGCTCTGTTCGCCACCGAGAGGTGTGGCGGCGCTCTACTCGAAGGCACCGGCAAATTGGCCGGCATTTACTCCTACGTCAGGCCCGACACACAGTTTAAGCTCTTCTATGCCATTCCCAGTAATGTTATTAGAGGTATGATTGGCCACAATCTCTCGGGATGTGGTGATTGAGTGATAATCCATGTCTTTGACCACTAATTGGTGTCTTTGTTTGTCTTTTAATACAGAGTTTATGACACGAGGAAAGCAATACTTGGATCTGATGTCCAAATTGAAGGCAAATCCCAAATTCCTCGACAATTATCTCGAAAAATCCAAATGAAAACAAACATTGCATTTGTTTTCTCATTACTTATTTATTTTATTTATAATTAGTTTTTGTAATTTTAATCTAATTCTCGTTATTTCTGTTTCATATGTTTTTTAGCATTTCTTTTAGATTTTATAATTTACTAAAACATTAATTTTTATATTTATTTTTTCATTTTGTAGTTTTTGGTATAGTTTTAAATGTATTTACAAAAACATAAATTCTTTCATTTACTATTCAAAGATTACTATTTTTGTTATAAATTGTAAACATTTAGTTTATATTATTTATTAATTATTAAATATTATTTGATAACATATTAAAAAATAAATATCTAATTATTAAAGTATTATTTATAATCACTTATAAATTAAGAGCTCAATTGGTTTGGTCTAAAATATAACAAAATCGATGGTTTGATAACTACTACAACACAAACACACCATAAGTGGTCAAAATTGATTGATTTTATCATATAATTATGGAATAAATAAATTTTAATTGGTAACATTTGTAAATTTTTATATTTATTACATTTAATATTAAACATGTGATCAATAAGAGTGATTTACTTTTATGTAATTTAAAACTAAATTATAAATTTAGTAAAATTTAAATATGTAATAAGTCTTAAAAATTGTTGTAAAAGTAAGAACTTTTAAATATACATTAAATGGATATTAATTCAGAATTTAATACAATTAGTTCATCATAAAATATTCTATTAATAAATAAAATTGGTAACTATAAACATTTAAACCTAAATAACTTAATAATAATCAAGGTAATAAACAGATAGTGACCCTTTCAGGGCGCGCACGTGTGCTCTTCTCGCTTATATTGGGCTGTCTTTCGGGCGATTGTGAAACACGTCTCTAACTCTTTGGCACTCACTTTATCCTCGTATCCATCGATCAAATCACTTAACACTTTCATTACAATCCCCATTGGATTTACATGACTGAATAGTAACATATTGGAGTATTTGTTGGGTCTAATTAGAAAGTACATCATTACATCGTGAGAGAGAG